ACAAACGAATAAGATGAGGCATGGCATAGGTCTACACACTGTATTAGGCTATATAATGACTCATAAATTACAGAACGTTTAGCAAACACTGAGGAATCTAAAAAAAAAAAAAAAGAGAGAGAGAGACTCCATAGCATAAGGTATGGAAGTCGTTTCTGCCACTGAATTAAAAAAAAAAAAGGTAATTGCGACTTTTTATCTCACAATTCTGACTTTATTCCACAGAATTATGAGATATAAAGTCAGAATTGCGAGATATAAAGTCACAATTGCGAGAAAAACTCGCAATTCTCACTTTTTTCTCGCAATTGCGAGTTTATATCTCATAATTCTGACTTTTTTTCTCACAATTCTCACTTTTTTTCTCAGAATTGTGAGATTAACTCGCCATTGCGAGTTTATAAATCCAATTTTGAGGGAGAAAAAAGACTGATATGTTCTCAGAATTGCGAGTTTATATATCACAGTTCTGACAAAAAAAAGTCAGAATTGCGTGATATAAATTCGCAATTGCGAGAAAAAAGTCTGAATTGTGAGTTTATGTCTCGCAATTGCGAGTTTATATCCCGCAATTCTGATTTTATTTCTCAGAATTGCCCGTTTATATCTCTCAATTATGACTTTTTAACTAATAAAACTATAATAGCATCTTGTAAATAAATATATTAATATAGAAAGAAAGAAAGAAAGAAAGGGTCATTTTATTTGATTGGTCATTTAGTGTCTTCCTGTATAGGATGGTTTTTAGCCTAAATAACCTGCAATGTGGACCAGACTTGATGGCAGTTGTGTGAGGCTAAAAGTTGCAGAGGTATCAGTGAAGTGAACTCAGATGCATGAATGTGAGGTTTGTTAAATGAGTGGAATAATAGAGACTTATAAGCAATCTTGATGATGAAGTTAAGTGGCTGCTTCGTAACCAGTAGAGGGGAGTTGCTGTTTTCAAAAGTCTAAAAAAAAAAAAAAAGAGAGAGAGAGACTCCATAGCATAAGGTATGGAAGTCGTTTCTGCCACTGAATTAAAAAAAAAAAGGTAATTGCGACTTTTTATCTCACAATTCTGACTTTATTCCACAGAATTATGAGATATAAAGTCAGAATTGCGAGATATAAAGTCACAATTGCGAGAAAAACTCGCAATTCTCACTTTTTTCTCGCAATTGCGAGTTTATATCTCATAATTCTGACTTTTTTTCTCATAATTCTCACTTTTTTTCTCAGAATTGTGAGATTAACTCGCCATTGCGAGTTTATAAGTCCAATTTTGAGGGAGAAAAAAGACTATGTTCTCAGAATTGCGAGTTTATATATCACAGTTCTGACAAAAAAAAGTCAGAATTGCGTGATATAAATTCGCAATTGCGAGAAAAAAGTCTGAATTGTGAGCTTATGTCTCACAATTCTGATTTTATTTCTCAGAATTGCCCGTTTATATCTCTCAATTATGACTTTTTAACTTGAAAAAACCTTCTCTGGTTTAAGAAGCGGTCTTTTACTTGACTTAAGCGTGAAAATCATCAATATTCGCGTCATTTTTGCTGAGCGCACCTTCTGCAATTAATAGTAAATATAACCAAAACAGGTCATTATAATTTTTATATGAAAAATAAAATAAATGTAAGAAACTCGCCCACTTAATTTTGTAATATTCTTTAATTTTGTAGTCCGTATGAAAAGGTGCATTTCTATTAAGTCCATGTGGAGATGGCAAGTCAGCGTCGGCATTCGGCAACCTCATCTTTGCACTCGACACTGACTCAGAAAGCACTAGTTTATTAATAAATAATTAAAATGTCTTCTTTTCCCCCGCAACGTTCATAATCACTTTGCCGGTGCTTTGAGGCAATTGCTTGAGCGCGGAATAGGCTCTAGCCTAATACGTCTGCCTATAGCCTATATTGAAGTATGGTTAATATATTATTTTATGAATCAATTTAATATAACGTGCGACTAGTTGACTAGAAAAATCTTTAGTAGAGGGCAGGCCTACTTAGCACAAGGAGGCTCTCCATTTTTAAAATAAAATGCTATAGCCTAATGACATTATGAAAAGTGCGACAGCTGTAAATCACATCGTTATTGCACTGCACGTGTTATGCATGCATAAGGAGTTAATTTTTTTTATCACCCTAATTAGATTATGAAGAATGATTTGTTGATCTTGTTTTCCCTTTAATACATAGCCTACCTTCCGCAATATATTTTTCAATTACTTTCAAAAAGTGGTAGGGACAATATCGACCCTGGCAAAAAGTGGTGGGGACATGTCCCACCCGCAAATTACGCCTATGCCTTTCTCACAGACATCACTGGAAAGTTTGTAGTTCGGTCGGATACGTCAAAAACAAGTAAAACAATGCACAAGTTACTTAACGGTAGGGAGAGAGAGCGAGTGCGCACGCAATTCTGTTGTGTGATCTTTGATGTTCACTCACGTAGCACACGCATCATTTGGATTAAAACGAAATCGTAAAAATAAGACCATTTTATAGGGGCATTCACTATAAACATTAGGATAAATAAAATCCGCAATTTAAGTTCCTCAATGTTTTGGCATCATCTAGGAAAAGTTTGGTGTGTACAGTATATTTCTTCTCTGAGGAGTATGCATTAATTCACAGCCATATTCAAAATAGCCGACTTCCTGTTGGTCGTAGCTAATTATTGTAAATTAGAAAGTTGTCCAGCTTGATGAGAACAATATATGTACCACGTTTGGTGGCTGTAGCTAATCTCCTGAAAAGTCGCCTTTTTAAAGGCTGTAAGTACTGGTCATAATACTCGCATGATAATGTTTGATGTGAGCAACCGTGTGTTTTGCTGCAGCAGCGCTGATGGAAGCGGTTCACTGACTGCGCAGCACAGCCACACGCGCCACAGTTACGTTTGGGATCATTTTATTTTAAATGCCATAATGTCAGTTGAAAACATTGCAATTGTGTTTAATCCTGTCATGCCGGGCTGCATAGACGCATTAAGGTCAACGATTAATCGATTAATTGATCGTTAATTTTAGGGATGTACCGATACTGAGCTCCTGTACACGTACTCGTTCAAATGCCCCGATACCAAAGGCCGATACCACACAGCATGTGATAAGCGCCATATTCAGACAATGAAACACCCACAACCGAACAACAGACAGCAGAATGGAGTTAAGGATGTCTACTACGAAGTCTGTGTATGGAATGAATATAATGTTAAACATTCAGTATTAACGCCTGTATAGCTGGTGGGTGCGAGCTGATAAGCAAAGCACGCTGAGTGGATTGAGCGCGCGGCGGCGCAGATGAGCGAGCTTGTCGAGTGAATATATCTTTCTCACAGACATCACTGAAAAGCTTGTAGTTCGGTCGGATATGTCAAAAAGAAGTAAGTAAAACAATGCACAAGTTACTTAACGGTGGTAGGGAGGGAGAGAGAGAGCGCAATTCTGTTGTGTGATCTTTGATGTTCACTCGCGTAGCACACGCATTATTTGAATTAAAACTAAATCGTAAAAATAAGTCCATTTATAGGGGCATTCACTATAAACAATTTATTTTCAACCTTAGGCATACACGACTTTCTGGCGAAAGTGAATCTAGCAGCCCGTGTGAAATGTGCTAGGCTGTACTATTCTGCATCAGTACAAATACCTGCACGCGTTGCGTGTGTTTTGCTTGCTTGAGTGTTTGTGCATTATATGAGTGACTTTGGAATATAAATCGCAGCACGTTTCAGATGAAAACGCGACTTCTATTTCTGAAAATATCACAGTTTTATAACGATTTATAACGAGTGGTTCCCTACATTATTACAGCAAAGCGCGTGATTACAGTACTAAGCCACTGCATAATGCTATTAAATTAAAGATGATGTACCATAGAGCAAAAAAAATGAACAGTGAAAGTAACAAAAACTTGGTGCAGGACACTATAGTTCATTTATGTAAGTGAGGATAGCAAAATAA